CACACACACACACACACACACACACACACACACACACACACACACACGCTCAATCAAAAGAAAAACTGAATAAAATGTCCAATATGTGACTTTTCCGTCTGTTCTAAAAGGCCAGTGGAATAAATAGAATTGCTTTTGAGGTCATCAACACGGTTATCGCCGGAGACGCCGTGTCTGCAGATCACAGGATGCGGTATCAAATGTATTTATGACACATGTTTTGGACCTCAGACCTTGGCACGCCTTACTGGAAGAACGACAACACCCTGATTTACCCCTACAGCTAGTGTGTCACCTATAATGACCATCTACACAGGCTGGACTTGACATTCCCAAAAAGCATTCAAGCCCGAGAGAAACTTTGTAAACAGTGGGGCTAGTCTAAGAATGCGGTAACAGTCAAAAGAGTTTAGATCGTCCCTCAGATCATGTTCAGGTCTCCGGCCGTCCTCTGAGGGATCAACATATCTGTGCGCCCAGACAGCTCAGGGTCGCTGCCTGCTCTGCGAGGTCTCCTGTTCACGATGGTCCGCTCTGGAAGTGTGTGTCTGTAGGGGTTTGTATGATGGAGGGTTGTAGAAGTGTCTCCGTCTCATTGCAGTGGATTATCAAACACAGAGTCTGGAAGGACAGAGATCTTCAGCTTCTTTTCTGGCCAACTGTACTCCTTTGGTAACTTTGTCTGTACAAATAGAAAGGACACACACGAGGTAAAACGGGCAGTTGAACAAAACCAGACTGAAAATCAAAGTTACACAAAAGAAAACGGGGTTTAATTTACCTCCTCGCGAGTGTTGAGCTCCTGTAGATCCCCAAGCATCTGCTCCACAAACTCCTCAGTCAACAATATCTACACAAGGAGAGCAGACGGTCAAATACATGCACTAAATAGGAAATCACCACATGGAAATCTTCAGTTTATGTGCGTGTGTGTGTGTACCTGAAGCCAGGGCCCATGGGCTGCATATGGATGCTCTTCAGTAGCAAACGCTCCTTCAACTCCAGTAGACACAAATGTAATGGCTGTGTCTCCATTGATGCTTTTGTATGTGAAGTGTCTCCCGTGGAGCAACCGGCCTCTGTAAAGGATGAAACACACTAGAGTGTGAACTACAAAAGGTGCGTTTTCATTGATTTTAGCCATAACGGAGTACTTTACTTTCCACGGGATAATTACTAGCAAGTTATTATACTTATTGCACCTATAATTAGTTATTATACTTTCTAAAAAAAATGTTTCTGTGATGACTGATGATAGCCAGTTCCCATTTTGACATTTAGAATGGCTTGAGGCAACAGTGTAACAGAGACATCCTAACTTGGGTGCGGTTGGGAGGGTAGCATAGTTCAAAATGCTCACATATTTTCAGTTTGTAGGCAACATTTGATGTAATCACGGCCAGTGTCAGCATCACATAATTGGGCCCTTTACACTGTGCTCTCACACAAAGGTCTCCTCCTTTCCTCAGACAGAGATCACATAAAGCAGGTTATAAATAACCCGACAGTCATTTCTTATGTTTGTCTACAAAACACACTTTCCAAAACATGTCACTTTGTGGATAAAGGTGAAAGGTGAGTAAGCTTAAACACGCATGCTCCTGCATCTTCATTTATTGGTTGTCGCCAAAGCATGTACTGTAATGACTTTTTTGTGTCTGAATTCACGTTTGTGAGCATTTATAGTGCATGTTTTAACCTTTTAAAAAAAAGATTTTCCTTATGTCTGTGAAACTTAAATACAACACGGTGAGGATCCATTCATCGTGTGTTAGCCAACACTGAAAATCACAGTTTTGATTCAGTAAATCGTGACCTTTGTCTGAAGCTACTTCCTGTTTGACACACTTCTCGTTGGGTGGGGGGGTGAGCAGAAAGAGAGCCAGACACTGTACATGAGCTATGTTGACTCCAGCGGCTCAATGATGGCGTCAACATACCGTCATAACCTCTGCTGACTTCTAGAGTTTGTCAAGAGTCAGGAAAGAGAAGTAAAAACAGCAAACCTATAAACATGCCAGACGAACACAGGGGACCAGAGTCCAGATCCTTTCTTTAAGTTACAAGTGTTCGACAATGAACGCATGGTGATCATTGGCTCCACTTCACAGGTTAGATTTATGTGCACTTCTCTGGAAAGCTTTTTATTTTCTCAGCATCAAAGTGAAAGTAGAAGGAGGAAAATCAAGATGACGTCATTTGGCTCTGGTTCTATTAAGACATTCTGCCACACCCATCCAACAAGATGTTAACCGAACCATTTGTTTATCTGTCTGTCTAAGGGGGCATTCCAAAAGGGTAAATAATGTGCGTGGGCGTAAAAAAGAGAGCGGCGCAGTACCGCAGGCAGAGAGGCAACAGTGTGCCCGACTCTTGGTTGAATTTCAGATGGACGCTCTCCAGCTGTCGTGTTCGGACCAACTCGTGAGGAACAATGGCCGCTGAACTCTCACTCTCTAAACTGTCCTTCCGACTCCTGAGAAAACAGACAAAGAAGAGAAAAGAAAAGAGAGGAAGACAAAAAAGGGGAAATATAAGTGAGGCAGTCTTGATTCGGTACAATCGGCTGCGAAAGAATGGCCATCTGTTAAAAACAGCTGCTGTGAAGGAAACGGCGGCTCCTCAGCTTTTGTCTGTTAATGGAAACGTACAGACACAGATTAGACAACTCCTTTTAAGGAGCGGTTACCTGAGTCGGCGGAACACGACGCAACAACTTCCACAGAAAAATAGCAACATATTTGTGACAAACCACCACGTTCTGGCCTTTAGCTAAGTTCAGATGTCAGTTGCGCTGTGAGTCATTGCACATGGCGGATGGAGTTATGCCGCCCTTGTGCTGTGTGTGTGGGAGGAACACTTACTGAGGTCTCTCGTGGCTCTGTCTCTGGCTGCTGATGGGTGGTATTGCTGCCTTGCTGTTAAACTCCAGTCCTTTTCTCAGGGTCTCTCTAATCTGCTCCGTGTCTGTCAACACACAGACAAAGATCAGCGTGGACCGATTCCACCGTGCACCGCTGACAGCATGGAACCAGAACTCCTATGTGCCGATTGGTTAAGCCTTCTTGGATTAATTACATGACGTACTCTTCTCACTCCTTTGGGACGTACCTTTGTCCGAGAGCCTCCGTGGCTGTGAGCCGATACAGATGGAGCGGCTGTCCTCCTCATCCTCTGGCGGTCGACTCAGGTCGTCCCACACACATTTAGCGCTAACCCCGCTCAGGTTAGAGCCCTCTGTCTCAATACCCTGGTCCACTCTCTCCTGCTTAGATGAGCAAGAAATAGATATACGCAATCATCAACACTAGCTCACATGAGGCTGACAAGATGTCGGGGGCCAACAGGGGGCCCTAAATAGGGCCAGAGAGCACATGTCTTTTGCGTGATGCAGGACTTAATAAAGCCTTACTTGTAGGTGTGGATCAATGTCAAAGATGGTCTCCCCTCTCCTCATGTCTGTGATCAGCCAGGAGCCACCAGCTCTGTACACAACACAATCATCAACATGAGTCCAGGGCAGCATTAACCACGATCATTAATCAAGCTTAACTAACAGTTAATAAATGAACAAATAACTCAGAATAAGACCGAAGAATAATAACAAATAATAATAAAGCCCAATATGTACAGCGTCGTTTTAAACACATGGCTTCTTAATTCTCCAGCTGAATCGTGTGCTTATGCAGTCGTACTCACACTCCGACTCCACGCATCAGCTCCAGGATGCCTTGGCCGTTCCACTGTTGGGCTGCCTGGAGCTCCTCAGTGCACACACCCACAATCTATAGGAGGCCGTGCAGAGCATGAACGTGTGTGGTCTACAGTGTGGTTCCTTTCTATTGATGTTTGGTAGCATTATGTAATATTGACTGAATGTCACAAAGAGTTTAGTCAGTGAACATCACATATTTGAACTCACCTGGAGAAAGCTCACTGAGCCAAACGGGGTTTGAACCGGTTGCATCTGTGGGTCCTCTGTCAGCAACATGTGCTGGATACGAGATTCACTGTTGTCTAGTGGACTGTGCCACGATATGTGGTCGCCGCTACAAAACGTGTTTTCTGCAGAAGAGACAAAATAAGGAGAAATTCGTTTCTAAATTCGGGCAAAATGTGCTGTTTTAAGTCATCTAGAACGCACACTTAGTCGGCAGAGTGTGTTTGAGCCTGTACTGTCGGTCACCAGAGGAAAGCAGTCCTACTTTCCTACTTCTCCTGATCCGATGGTACAGACTTGATGAAGGAAAGTTGCAGTAACAGGGAATCATAGGGCACAGATCCGCAAGAGAATGAGAGGGAGTAAGTGAGAGAAAGGGAGAAGAAATGTGGCAAGAAAAAGCATAAAAATGACATTTCCATCTGAGGAAACTGTCGGCTTGGGAGGTAACATGCACCCAGTCCAGATTCACTGCAGGAGAAAAGCGAGGGGGAAGATGGCCAGAATTCATTTAGCTCGGGAGCCCGGCCCACCCACGCGCAAATTGACCCCAGCTGGAGAGCAGAGAAGGGCTGGGTGGTGAGGAGAGGAGAGCCTTCTTCTCTTTCACAGCTTTAAAATGCCCCCTTCCCTCTCAACCACACTCCCATGTGCACATTATAATACACAACTGAAGAACGTAGCAGCATAGTGTTACACCCGTTACAAATAGCATCTACACTCACACACTAAAACAATGTCTTGTTTGCTATTTGTGAAAACAATCTGTTTGAAATGGAGAAGGGAAAGAAAGGGGAAATTAGACTTCCTGTCAATACCCAGAGCTCCAAAAACACAAATAATGTGTCCTAAACCTAAGACGGCTGCCTGCAGCCGACCCCTCTTTTCCTGCATATTTGAATGTATCACAGGAAGTCCAACAACCATGACACAGAACACATTCTCAGCATTCACAAAGACCCGACGAGGAGGCATGCCAACTGCAGCCCAAAGAGTTGGTCCATCAGAATAACACACGCCCAGATGAATCATTTACTAGACTATTAGCAAAGTGGGGACTAAATGAAGAGCACAAACCATTGCTCTCTGTCACACATTTTCCAGGTGAAGGACGAGGAATGTAGGGCTGGAACCAACAATGTTTTTCTGTGGTTCATTTTATTGATTAGTCAATTAATCAGTTCCTAAAATGTCTTAAATAACAGGAAATGACCAGAGCCCAAATGAATGTCTCAAACCTGCTTGTGTAATCTGACTAATAGCTAAAACTTTTAACTAAACTAAGAAAAGCACTTTCTTTTACAAGCCAGCTATTATATTAATACTAGATTTTTGGTGATTTTAATATAATAAATGAAACATTAATAGTTCCACACTTAAGTTTTTCAAATAATTTACAATAGAGTATTAGAATAAATAGCTAACCTCGACTTTGAGGTGTTTTAAAGTTTAGTTTCCTCTTGAAAACATGAAAGAAAGCACAGCTGTACACAGTTACTGGGCTCTTACCTGACTGGAAGACATAGCGAGCCAAGCCTTGCATGAGTTCAGCCGGCCAGGTTGGCGGTGCCGTCTCTCCCGTCTCTCTTTTGAGTCGAAATGTGAGCTCAAAACCAAACCCACTGGGCCCGTCTGCCCCTGTGAATCTAACACACACATTAAGAAACTGGGTGAACAGAACATCAGGAGCTATTATGATTTCTTATATGCGCGTGTGTTGTTAAAAATCACAAAGTGTGAGTGTCTGTGGTCTACTCTTTAAGGGCTCATACTTGGACAGGCTTGATGTGATGTACAGATTTAATATTTTTAAATAAATAAACAAACACAGAACAGGAGAGCTTTTCATCTACCCCATCAAACGTGTTGAAATTACCCCCAGCTCCCCGGTGCAACAAGAAGTCACGTATTTACATTAGCGCAGCATACTTACTCATGGACCCTATTGTCCCCATACAGGTCACTCAGTCCGAAACTGACATAGTGCCAGTGCTCCTGTACGTCCTGAGTAGGACAGCCCGTACTCCTGTACATGCTGATGTAGTCTAACGGGTCAGGTCCCCCTAACCTGAAAACATAAAACCATCAGCCGTGTCAGACATTGTTATTGTTGTCATTGTTTACTTTTACGCACACCCACCACGTAAAGAGAGTTAGCTTAGCTTAACTTGTACGAAAGTAGTGGGCAACATTTAATTTAAAGTAAGATGTTCTAATTAAACTAGTATATTTGGGTACTAAATCCTCAAACTAACCCAAAACAAAGTAAGTTCGCAGTGAACGTTACGCACAGCATGGCTCCTGTAAAGTTACGTAGTTTGCTGAAACGTTAGCTTAGCAGCTAGCTGGGTAATTACTGGCTAAACGTCTAGCCACCACTGCTTAAACGTGTTCAACACACTTAGGGCCTACATGTTTGTCAGACCAGCAACCACAACACGGAGTAACGTTACCTACCAATATTTCACAATGGCTGTGACTTGAAGCGGGTTGGCCTGTTCGGGGTAAAGTCGCCGGCATTCCCCGTAGATAGCCTGCAGTCCGGGTGGAAACAGCGGCACCAGCCCGTGGGTTTGAGCACCACTGGTAGGCCGTACCTCATCCATGCCACGGCCTCGAACAAATATGGTTTTCTATTTTTTTTAAAGTGTGTGTGCTGCTATCTTCTGCTGTTTACCCACAGCTCCACGACTGCCAGACAACCCTAAATCATAAAGGCTTTACTCTGCTAATATTGACCGATTAAAAACAGGTTTAATCCCGACCGTTGTGCTACACCAGCAGGGTCTCAGACTGTTGCTAATCCTGTATAGAAACTACCTCGCCATTGGTTGATGGGTGTGGTGACGTAACTGACTGATGGCTCGTAATGGCCAATGAGGAATGGGATTACAGCAGAGCCGTTGAATCAGAGTCACGCCATTGGACCTTTTTTTTAACAGTAATGGCTGCTGATGGATCTTCTCAATAGTTCACTGAAATTAAGTAAAGTAAAGTTAAGTAATTTATAGCGGAATGGACCGTTCGGGATGGGCTTTTAAAATGTAAAACGTTTTAAGAAAGATATTGTATATTATCAGCACAACTGATTAAACATGAACATGTGCATTAAAGCATGTTAGAGGAAATTCCACCACTAAATGAGTAGATTAAGAGAATTGTACCAGAGGAATGGGACAGGGAATTTGGAAGACTTTGTGATATTAAAAACATGAGGTAAATTTAAAATAGACCAGCAATTTTGAAAGATGAATCATAGTAGATTTACTGGAGAATAATACTAAATACAAAAAGTATTATACTACTGTATTTCACAAATAATCATAAACACGTATTCTGTCATTGTATTATGTCGGGAATGTAGTTTGTAGTTGTTTCACTTTAACATGAAGTTAGAGGGCCATTGTGATTTAAAGTTACTAGCTAAAGAAGGCCTACAGGATGCAGCCTGGCTACATTACAGCGACGTCAGCAGGATGCAGGATTTGTTTTCCTTTTTGGCTAAAACCAAACTGCAGTGTGCACAGCGAGGGTCCTGCTGGATATTGGAGCTGACTTGCCTCAGTTTGTTCCTGCTAAATTAAAGAGCTGCATAGACTGTGCTTGTACTGAGTCTCTTCCTCACTCCAATGATGACCAGTTAACTTCAGAAACGGCCAACTCTGCCCAGTCAAAATTGGATTCATTCATTGACAACCAATTAGCAAAAATCTCTCTCCGTTTGTACCGATTTCTACCAATATCTACGCATGCAAATTGCCGACCAAGTACATCCTTGAACTATCTGAAGTCTACGCGAATCACATAAATATCAAGCATTTTGAACTTCTGTTGACTCAACTTTGTCTTTATATGGCTCTGGATTTTAGCTGTGGATGGATTTGTTGATAATTGTGATTGGCTGATACACTGTCAAACAAACAGTGGGCAGATGTGATTTTAGGGTTGGGGCTTCACAGTTTTGTACGGGCCAACTAACTAATGTTTGAGTAAGTATTGATATTGTTTATTTGAGTAAATGTAGCAATATGAAAATGTAAAAACACACCAACTTTAGGAAACCAGGGTGGTAAAGAATTCAACCACTACTGGACCTTCTTCTGTTATGTTGTTCAATCCATGTGGAAGATATACGTGTACAATTACAGAGAGAATCAGGAGGGTCATATGCACAGAGCATGGCATATCCTAAAATAACTGTTAAACCGGAAGGACTACTGGTGTACTACAACTATATATATATGACTGAGTTCTTAAACGTTGCAGTATTTCAAATTCAAACAAAAAGAGAGTCAATAAATCGGACAGAAATCATTATCTTTGATTAAGTTTATTAAGAATATACAATATGCATTTTAAACTCTGATCAGTAATTTCCAAAGTTGTATTTTATTCACAGAAAAATACATAAACACACACATACAAAAGTAATAGGTAAGCCTATGACATGCTGGAATGAATGTAAACCACGTATTAGTACTTTGTGATTCGGTCGGGATTTTCCGCTTTCTTGTGCTGTGCCTTAAGGTTGACAAATTAGTACCATACCAAAAGAACTGAGCCCATAGATGACACCTGAAGATGCCACCATCTATGGAATTCAGTTCTCATAGTACAACACTTATCAATATTTGGTCCTCAGGAGTCTCGAGTGATTGTTTGACACGACTCATGCTTCATTAATAATGCTCTTTTCAACTCTGCCCATGTCTTAATGAAATTTAAAAAAACTAAATAAAGCAATTCATAATCAATAAAAAAAGCTTACAAACCTTCTGGAATTAACAAGTGTGTTTAAGATACAGAAGTTACAAGATGTTGAGCTGCACGTTGAGGTTGAGTCATCCACGACCTTCCCTATTTCACAAGAACTGTAGGGTGACCATGAGACGATAACATCTACTTCATTCATTGGAAGATTGAGCAAGAGGCCATTTCAGTTGCAACTGAAGTTCATCTTAAACAGTTATTAATCATAGTTGGCATTTGCATTATAGAGGATATCGCAACATGTAATTTAAACACACTTTTTCATAAATAGGAAACAGATTGAGAGGCATTTCACGTGAGTGCAATGAAACCCCAAAGTGGAAAACAAACCTCCAAAAGGCCGCTATGATTGAATGGATCCAATGCTGTGGTTACAGAGCATGTGAGAAGTTTCGGGGTCATCTGAGGAAATCCAACCATCTTACCCTAGGTATTCCTGTAAATGCTTCTCAACCACTGAAATGAAAGTGTGTCCACTCGGCTGATGCAAGCACTGAATCAAATCATGGCGATAGTGCTCTGATCAAGGCATGAAATGACTCATCATTTATGGCACACACACTCCCAGGAAAAGAACTTTGGGACAATGTGACTACTGACAAACTGTTGGTCGATGTATCTTTCAACCCTCCAAAGTAAGTTTGATATTAACTGACTTGTTTTACAGGATCTCTTCCTTCATCTATAAAAAAAAAAAAAAAAAAAAAAAAAACACACCTCACTGAAGGCCAGGAGTCAATATTAACAGTGACAGTATCGCAAGATAATTCCTCAATGTTATCTCAGTCACTGGAGTTTGTTCAGTGGGTGTACATTCTTTTAGGAGACATGCAATACAGTACAATGAACTTTTTGAGGAAGGCCACACCTGAACACGTCCAGGAAACTCCTATCTTTCCGGCAGTTGGACTGGGAAACAACCCGTTCTACAGCCTATTACCAGAAAATAATTCCCCTATGAGGGCATGAATTCACTCTTAAAGCCTGCACTAGTTTAAACAGCTCCCACATTAACATAGTATGAGAACATTGACACCTTTCATCTGCCTGGAGGAAGAAAATGGGGAAGTTGTTTCAAATTCAAAAACATCATAACTTAAACATGTTGAAAGTTTGTAGCTCGTGGTTTTGAATACGCATTTCTGACCATTTTAGCCAAAATAATTTTCTTTTAAATTGACAATTTAATTAGTGTAAGAAAGTTCTCTTCCTAAATACTACTTACCCCAGTCATTCACTGAAACGTTTCTCTCCAGATCTTGGATACATCAGAAATACTTCTCCCAGGACAGTGCTCTTGCAGGGACGAGCATTAAACACTCTTCAGCAGTCCCATCTCAACAACACGATGTTATAACAGCAGCTAGTCTCTCAGCCCTCCCTCCCCAGTTCACCTGCGTGTTCTGCTCACTCTCCCACGTCCTCCAAGCCCGAGGAAGGATACGACATACTGCCTGACATTCAGAGCGAAGCACCTTAAATACCCCCCCACCTTTCACATCACCCATCAGTCGCCCTCCCTCCTCGCTATCTGTTTTTCATACGCTCCCTCCGTTCGGTAAGCCTGACAGTCACTTCCCAGTAAGAAGGAAACAGTGGGAGTGGTGAACAGCACGCCCCCTCACAGTGAATCAACACATAATAGTTTCTGAAGAAAACCATCTGACTGGCCCTGCCCCCTGTTCCCATAAAGTAAACAGGGTAAAGGCTGTGTCTACTCGAGGAACCAGGAATTCCCCCACAGGCCATGAACAGCTGTCGAGATGAGAGACGATGACGAGGCAGACACACTGGAAGTTTGCTGGCCTGGCATATGCAAACAGAAACCGTGTTTGGTGTTTGTGTGTGCGTAATAGAGAAATAGTCTTAACAATACAATATATTTACATATGTATGTGGAAATTCTATCCACACACAGTGGGTGTTGAAATACAGCCATGTTTGACATGGTGACATTATGTTTCCTAGAAAAGTGTTTTTTTATCTTCGAATAACTATTATTTGTCAGGAGGGCAGTGTGTGGTACCTGCGTCATGGACATGATTATGATGAGATTGATTCATGTGAATATTTGTGTAGCTGGAGTCATTTATTCAGGTGAGGTCTGATAGGGGTGTATACAAAAGCACAGCCTTCCTAAAATAACTTTGTTTGCTCTCTGGTCTTGGTCAAACATGATGCGATACTGATGGTGTTCAATCAGCCGGACATGACAGGACTGGGTCAGCTGGGTAAAACCACAGTTGTTGAACACGCCAGCTGACAGTAATACAACAGTTTCGTTGGTCACTGACCCTGTGACAACCCTCTGAAGTCCTCGTCATCAACACGAGAAACTAGTCTGAATTTCATGCACACTTCCTCAGGAAAAAAAGCCCTGTCAGAATAATTAAATTGATTTCCTTGATCTGGACAAAGAGGGGATTCCACACGGAGTTGGAAAAATTACCGCATAGTTCCCTTCCTCTACTTGGATGCGTTTTTGCACATATTTCCTGTCAGTACTCGTGCCAATGTGTCGTGACCTTTTGTTTTGCAATGGAGCACACCCAGATTACGTAGTGACATTAACTGATGCTTAAAAACCCCCACAGAATCAAGAGGAGCCACTACTTAAATAAGAGGTACAGAGACCCCATAGAGTCCCACCAATGATGTGCAGTGACTTTAGAATCCACTTTCAAACTACATCCTTGGGCTGGTAGGATAAGTTGCAATTGACATTTTGTGCCGGACTTCAGAAACAAGCCTGGCTTTCATGCTGCTGTTTGAACACTGGGGAAATCACTTGCAAAGGTCACTGAGCCCATTTCCTTTCTTTTCTCCCCATGCATCTAAAGACCACTAACAGCCCCTTTTAACTGCACTTCACTTACTGGCAGACATATTCAAATTTCTATATAGGAAGTGAGAGAAGGTATAGGTAACAAAAGACCAAATCGGAGATGAGACAGCATATTTTATTACAGCTCTTCCTTATTTTACCACAGTTGCTCTTACATACAACTTGCAAGCACATAGAAAAAAATCCCGATATTTTTATTGTGTTTAACTGTGCAGAGCGCAAGTTATTACATGAACGAAGCTGCGTATCAAACCCAGCTGCTTCACTTCTTTGCCATTCTAAAACGAAGGACGACTACGTGTCTCTGAAGTCCTTCTTCACCGTCCCAAAGGTGATCCAAAGAGAAAACACCCCTCTGCTCCACAAACGTCTCAAACAGGTGCAGTCCACCACCGACACCGAAGTAGTGGGATTTGGTGGCGAGGTAGACGAGCCCATCTGGGGCAAGCAGTCTGTGGAGGGTCTCGTGTAGCGCTAGGTAGTATGCCGTGTTGTAGATAGTCTCTGAAGTGAATATAATGTCATATTTGGGTTGTGGGTCCTCCTTCTTAACCAAAGCAAGAAACGTGCTCCAGTCACCGGAGAAGAACCGACACTTAGCTAGTGAATGGTGCTGGGATAGGTCTGCGGCTCTTTTCTTAGGTGGTGGGCTGCCGTCTTTTACCTCTCGTTTCCCCTTCTTTTTACAACCGTCTTCCTCCTGTACTTTCCCCGTGCCCCGCCCTTCTTTGTCATCTTCACTGTCTACTTCATCCTCCTCCTCCTCTTGGCAGTTTAGTATTACATTTGGCACTGTGAGCTGCTCAATAACTGTACTGTTATAATCTTGGAAGTGGATCTGCCTGGCTCCTCTATGCAGAGCCAATATCCCCAACAGGCCGGCACCGCAGCCCAAATCCAAAACAGCCTTCCCCCCGAAGGTCTCTCCGTCTTTCTCCAGCAGCTCCAGAAGGTCGTAAGTGCACTCCCACACCTTCAGCCCGCCCTCGTACACGCCGGAGATGAGGTCGGACTTCTGCTCCACGGTGCGAGAGAGAATCTCCTCCTCGTCCTCTCGCTCCGAGGCCGTCTTTTCAAAAATGGTCTCATTGAGGAAGTGAAGAAGGGGGAGAGTTCCTATGGTAACCGTTTCAGCGACAGCATCCCTGAGGAGCTGTGGGTCAGAGAGTGGAAGGTGCTCTTTGGCCTCTTTTACTAGCTCTGCTGGTTTGGCATCATCCTCCATCTGGAAGATATAAAGCAGTGTGCATGGTTAAAGACCAACTGTATTCCCTCAGCTACATATGCGCCTAATGGCTCTGTGAAAATACAGGATTATGGGGCTTTTGGGTCTTCATACGAATTTCATAGGAATTGTGGAGGTCATGAATATGATGCTAAGTCTGGATGTGAAAACACCACGAACATGTAAGAACTTGGATTTAAACAAATCTACGACAGTGCAGTGTTGATTGGATGTTAATCGGTTTATAATGATGCTACAGTATATCTACCTATTGAGTCTATAAAATATGTGCTCTACTAATAAAGACTAGTTGCCCGGTTGATGAACTTACATGAGACTGTTACAAATACGCCACGTCATCCACCGTGTGACTGCAACACTGTTTGCAAAGATCATGTGTGAATTGGTCGGTCAAACTGTCCATTTTGTCACAACCACCAGAGCACAACAGTGTAGATAAAATGCCTGGAGATCTTTGGTGTCAGAGTAACAACTCATACAGTCGTCTATCAGTATGAATGTAGGATTTCCGCTGTGACTGTTTATCGACGGTGCAGATGTCAAGGCTTATAGGCAAGGGGTTTGCCACCTACACTCTCTTGCAGATGCACACCTAACTTTCATTTCAATTTGTATTGTTAATTGTGATGGAATGATACAGAGGAAGTGACTCAATTAAATATTCTGCACATATCTATACAGTGTGAGTGTGTTAATGAGGGGGTGTGTCCCTGCCGTTTTCTATCTAAACTCAATACTGCAAAATCATAAAATGTGTCATTATTATACATAATTAGCACATTAATTCATTTAAATGGAGAAAATGATTAGTTTAAGGATTATTTTTCTTCCTTGTGGAACAATCCGTCGACAGAGAAATATTTTGAAACTGTCAACATTAGAAATCTACAGAGTTGGTTTCCAGCCTAAACATATTTTTAAAGTGAATTTCACGATCCTTTTTTGTAAACAACTTCCCGTTATTTGGAACAGGTAGCCTACTTTCGGACTACGGGAATAAAATGCTCTCTTCCTGGACCTGTGTAGTTGGTAGAGCCGGTTAGCATCATAGCTAGGCTAACGTTAAGCACAGACTGGTTTAGCTACGACCTAGAAGGGCATAGCCAATCAGACGCGGAGAAGGGGCGGGTTGTAGGAGCACACAGTAGTCTATACAGCCAATCATAATGCGTGACGTCATATGTGAAGGCGGGACATAAGACAATCTGGCAGACCGAGCACATCCGATACCTACACCAGTGTTATTTGGAGACAAGCCCATGATTGGCCAAACAAAAAATGATTGACAGAGGCACAGAGAGTCAAAGTACAGGCCAATATTTTCTTTCCCAAATATGTTTTCTGTCATTTTTGGTAGTTCTTACAACGCTTATAAAGTTTTAAGAGTTAATTTTCATGTTTAATCTAAGGTAGCAGCTCGGTGACTCACGCCATGTGGCCGTGCTCAACTCGTGATTGACTCGGGTGGGTGTGTGTGTGGGACCTCGAAACAGCGGCTCAAGACACCGCCACTGGTAGAGTGTGGAAGGAAGTGGAGACGAGTAGTCTGTCCATCTATAAAGTAGTCTTGGGACACAGCTATATGGTCCATTTTCCCGTCATCCAGCCCTCATAAAAGTATACACATTATCTTTATTTTAATAACGACCATATCCATGCCAACAAGTAGTCATAATTCCTGCCTGACAGCTTTGAGCAACTTAACCTAGACCACATGTATTAGTGAGCTAACGTTACTCACATATTTAGCGGTATTATCTTTCTTTCCATTTGGCAGTTCATTTCCATCCACGTCGTCCGGGCTTGTTGATTGTGCCGGGACGTCGAAGTTAAAACAAAATGACATGATGACTGACAACCCAGCACACCGTTAGCTTGAGGTTGGAAGGTTTGTGTCCCCGCTTACTGTGGGTTCCACATGGCGAGCGAGTGGGTCGAGTGTAGCTCTAGCTCTACATGTGAGAACTACAAGTCCCAGCATTCTGAGAATTATAGTAAACGACACGCAGCGTGTCACCTTTCTAATAATTTAAAGTGACCGTTTCAGAAGCATACAACATAGGACATTCAGGTATATACAGGTACTATTATGTCGTATCTATCTGTCTGAAATGTCGTAATGTATTCCTGACTCAGACTACCATGATGCCTTTCGCCGCTATTCTGGCGCACGCGCACTAGCTCCGGATCAGGATCCAGATTTGTCACAGAAGGTCCCTGATTCTGCTCTTCTTCGCTGACGTTTCGCGATAAACTCGTTTTTGCTTCCTTTTGAAAATGTCGACGGGAGGGGTGGTTTCGGCAGCTTTCTTGCCTTTATAGAAAAGTGAGTATTCCCTTCAAATAAATCTGTAATATTATTGAACATAAGAACGCAGCACACAGTGTTTGCACAGGAAAACACTGGACCACGGGACAAACAAAAGGGAGTTTGAAGCGTTAGGATGCTATAAGACTGTTCACAGCCAATGTGCATTATGGACAGATTATATGTTAACGCTTTCATGAGGCGATAGTTTACCTAATTGCCTTGCAATGGTCTTTAAATAGGCTAGCATTGCCTGATGCTGTGAAGCTGAATGTTGCTGCTGCTGACAAGTGTCAACTCTACTTCAGGCCACTCAGGTGGCTGCAAAAACCTCCGCTCAGACTGCACCCTGTCTGGAATGCTGCAAAGCAACTAACGAGAGGCTTTGGGCATATCTAACAGCCAGCCCTTTATTCATACATGTTCGTTTGTTACCTCCATATTTCTATTTGATTCACAAGCGAATGCTCTGGCTTGTTCATCTCGCTACACCGTTACATAGATCTACCTGATGAGGTTTAAGTGTAAATTGGCACAGACGGATACGGTGAGTTATAAAAACAACTCAGCTCCCAAAACATCCAAGTTTACCGGCTTCCAAATTCAGCGTTTGGTAAGTTTGACTTGATACACTCGATAAGAGGTGACAGGCTTTTGGCAACTACTGTTAATCAATTAATAATTCTAATCATGTTTCAAGTTTAAATGCAAACTATTGTCCGTTTACAGCTTCTTATCTGTAAAGTTTTGGGGTTGTTTGTGAAACTAAAAAAGCACATTGGGTTGTAGGAAATGGACATTTGTCACTATTTTTCTGTTTTAATAGACCAAACAATTAATTGATTAATCGAAATCAAGATCTTTAGAAGCATATGTAATGATAATTGCAGCCCTACAATGGACAACATTTCTTACTATGTCCTTTTTGTTTTATATGGATTTATTATACATGCGGTTTGCTGTATTCTTTTGTACCTTTTTCATTATATTGTTTCTTTATTGTTCCTCAAAGGTCCGTGCATATCACAGATGCAGAATGCGGTGGTGTCCCAGCTCAAGCCTCCACCTGCTGCGTTGTGTGCGGTTCAGGTCCTGTACCAGGAGAGGAAGGACCACACTGCCTTTGTCGATTAGGACAATATGGGCATACATGAGACTGCTGGTGCAGTCACTGTACTTCAGCTCCCTCACAGACTCCGATGTGGTTTTCGACTCAGTCTTTGAACCGGTGTTTTGGACTGTGGACTATGTCACACGCTGGTTCGGCGCGGTGAGTGTGTGTGTGTGTGTGTTGAGGCTTTGATTAGTTCCAGGAGTTTCCAAGTTCTTCTCTGAAGAAGGCTCTCTGTGTTTGTCCTGCAGGTGTTTGTTTGTCTGGTGGTGATACTGACGAGCTCCATTTTGGCAATAGCGTATCTGATCCTACTGCCTACGGTCTTCAGCACATACTCTCTTCCGTGGATCGCTTGGCACGTTTGTTATGGACACTGGAACCTCGTCATGATTGTTTTCCACTACTACAAGGCCACCAAGACTTCCCCAGGGTACCCCCCTACAGTAAGACAGAGCCACCAAAAAGCTTACTAGTCTGGTTTTGATTTGAATTTACATTTATTAATGCAATGAAAATGCCCTCTTTCAATCAGGAAAAAAACGACAGTCCGTTTGTGGCGGTCTGCAAAAAATGCATCATTCCCAAACCTGCAAGAACACACCACTGTGGTATCTGTAACAGGTGAGTCGGTGTCGTTTTTCTTCTCTTCTGGTGTTTCCTTAAGTGATGAGTGGTTTGTCAATCTGATGTGAACACGCAAGGAAAACCCTCACAAAATTGTTTCAAGTACCAGACTGAATATTAATTTTTGTCTTTGCAGGTGCATTCTGAAAATGGACCATCATTGTCGTATCCTTTGTGCTAACATTATTTCATTTTTTTTATGTGACTGAGAAAAGATGGTTGTTTCCTTAATGTCAGCATCTCAGCCTGGCTGAATAACTGCGTGGGGCATTTAAACCACCGTTATTTCTTCTCCTTCTGCGTCGCACTGTCCATAGGCTGTGTCTACTGTAGCGTCAGTGGCAGAAACCTGTTCCTAGATGCATACAATGCCATTGAGGTGAGAAGCTCAGACTCACACCACACTGTTTGACCGCCGTTGCCTTTGGCACTGTTTGGAGTTTTGTCCTTGTAAGACTTTTTGGGTATTATTATATACACTTTTCCTCCATGTCTGGTGTCTTTCTCTGCTGGGTTTTACTGATGCTTACTCACACTGCCTTGTTTCTGTCTTTAACACTCGGGTTTGTGTACGCGGGCTGTTCCATTAGCGCTTCAAACATCTGGATGTGGAAAAGTCAGGGGTACCAGTAACTGGGATGGGTGTTCTCATAGGGCTTCTCCCCCCTGGCCAGGTACAGTCTCAAAAGTACACACACAATAATATAAGCGTATGTGTTATCTGTTAGTTATGTAATATATGTTGTTGTTTTTTTTTGTTTTTTTGTCAAGACCAACTATCAGACACCTGCACCTCCGTACACCTTTAAGGACAAGATGGTCCATAAGAGCATCATCTACATGTGGGTGCTGACCAGGTAAAATATACAAGTCCATATTACAAACTAATTCAAAACAGGCTTTGTGTTTGTAGTGTGCTCACACTGGTATACACAAGTATACTCAAACAAAGTATGCCTGCTAAGTCGCAAAAATGTTTGAGCATGCTGTTGATTGACACTGTTGCTCCACAATGAAATGCACAAAGGAAATGCAGGAGCCGCTCATAGCTGCAAAAACAGTGTAACATTGTGGATGGTGGTGAAGCAGCTCCAGCTTGAGCTCAGTAAACAAACAAGCGTATGAAATATTCGGAAAACCATCATTACGTCTTTCATTACTTCCTTTTTAGTACAATGCATCTTCAAACATTGTGTACTATAGATTCCATACTGTCAGTATGTAGTAGAGAATTGTAACGTGGTGGTTGTCTCATTCAAATACAATGTGTTTTGTTCCATTAGCACTGTGGCAGTGGCCCTGGGATCTCTGACCCTATGGCATGCAGTCCTCATATCCAGAGGAGAGACCAGCATCGAAAAACACGTCAACAGCAAAGAGACGAAGCGAATGGCAAAACGAGGACGGGTGAGCATGTTGAATATTTCAAATGTAAACACATTTCAGGTTGTGTGAGCTACAAACCTTCAATTACAAGAAATTAGAGGGTTAAATGGCAATGACAGTACTATGTTTTTAAATGCTCGGATTCTTTTTCTTTAACTGCTCAGGTTTACAGAAACCCTTTTAACTATGGCAGGCTGAATAACTGGAAGATCTTCTTGGGCGTGGAGAAGACAAGGTGTGTCTCTTTGATGTTAAATGATTTGTATCTATGACCAGTGCTGCCTTGTATTTCCTGTAACCTGTTCTGCTTGATTTCTTTTTTTGTTTTTGTCTCTAGTCACTGGCTGACACGTGTTCTCCTTCCCTCTGGACACCCCCCACCTGGAGATGGTTTAAAATGGGACGCCTTCCCAGTTAAAAAGGACTTAATACCTGTATGACGGACTCGACTCGGGCATACTTGTAGCCTAATATCAGCAGTCTTTGCTGTGTCCAACTCACTCTGGTCATTTGATCTGGTTGGCTGTCAGGATGTCTGCATGGTGGCTCCATACAGCTGAAGAAATAGGGACATATCAGCCTCCAACACCTCAAAAACTTGCAGTGATACTGCTCATGGTTCGGTCTGTATTTTTCACCACCGAAAAGGCAATGTGTCACGGATGGTTTGTTCTTTACTTACTCTTACAAACGGGTCTTACTTGACTCTGACCATTGTAAAACTGCAGTACCATGATAATGTGTTATTTATCTGTATTTTTTTACCTGTTAAGTTAATAAATCTTTATAAATTGCTTAACATTAATATTCAGTTATTACTAAAGATGTGCATTCACCGTTTTTACACATACACAGATTGCATTATTGTGCATCAAACTCTAAATATTCACTGGCAGTTTTAGGTAGGCACCTGTGCCTGAATAACTGTCAATCATGGTATTCAGTTCCCTTGTCCAGGATCACTTCACAATACTGAGCAGAGAAAATCCAGCTCCAGTGTTATGTCCTAGTGTTGCTTACGCAGACAGACACAGAGACATGCTGCTAGTAGGGGAGGATTAATTGAGATGCAGATTCATATGAATATATTCCATCAGAAACGAGCAGCCACAGTAGTGGCGATGCACAAAGATGAAAGCAAATGAAACATTTTCCTCCAATTTGAGCAGAAATCCTGCTGGCATTAAACTATTCCCAGGACATACATTTGATTTACTATTCTGCACTTAATGCAATTTGATAAGCAGATGAATGACGATCTTGTCACTTAAATGGTGAATGCTGGAAAAAGAGATTTGCAGATTAAGGGATGATAACAGATTTCAGCCTGTTTCCAGCCCGCTCTCCCCCTGCCACTGCTCATTACATCCCCACTCTGTCAGAAACAGACTACACACACTCGCACACGCGCGCATATAGACACAAACCTGTCAGTATTAAATCTCCCAGCAGATGTCAGTGTTCATGTCAAGTTTGATCAGAAGCTGCACTGAGTGATTGGAAGGATAAGGATAATTGATAGTAAGAATAATCCTGCAGGTTTCTTAACGATTTTGTATCAATTTGGTTTATATTATATCAATTCTGATAAGTAGGGCGCAGCAGCCTTTTTAAATAGTAATATTGAAACTGCATACTATTCATTTATTTGGACTGTTGGTACTTGGGTAGGTTGGTGTTACATATGGTTGTGACATGCTGTGGTAAATGCTTGGCATAGATTTACAATGGCCTAAGGTTAGGTTGAGCATAATGGTGCAAATATGTTCATACCTTCGGTATGTGCTGTTCTGGTAAAACACCTGAACAAAATCAGTGTTTTCATAAAGGTCAGCATCAAGTTGAGCACATTCAACTGGCAACGGAGTGACTTTTCTTTACTGAGAGTACATCGATGAGATGCTTCATGAGCAATAGTCAAGTATTTCTGCACACACACTTCAGAACTCTTTCTGTTTTTACCCTTACCAGCATGTACTATAAATGTACATAGACTTTTCAATGGACAGTATCGCCTATAGTTAACAGAATTTTTGTGTCAATATTTAATTGGATGGGTTTTAGTTTTTTCAAGTCTATCGTAATTGCTGTTTAATTATTTAAAAGTTTGACTCGTTAGCAAACTGAACAATCATTTCCAATTGCTTTATTATTGAGAGCGGGCATTTCTCAATCCCCGCTTTTATTCTGATGAGTTTGAAGGAAGCAGGATAGAGAACTTGCTGTAAACTGCGCATGCGTGGAGACCGATAAGGATTTAATTCTAGACCTATGTTCTAGACCAGTGCCAACGGATTGCGTGGGTGAGCTGCATTCATTATGATTATGGGGGACTACGGGAATTGATTGCTGTATATTTTTGGACACGCTGTTGAGACTTCCTGGAGGCTCTGCGGGGCCAGACTACTCACCAGCCCGCCAGCCCCGCACAGATATCAGCCTGTCAACCTGCTGACTCGCATCTCGCGTCGCGTCAGGGTGATAACTTCACTTGGAAGCAAGTTCGGATGTGGCAAGCAAACTGCAGAAGAATGCATAATTTGGCAGACTGGATTTCCGGTAGGTAAAATTAATTACAGCTGTTTGTTTAAAAAAAAAAAAGATATAGCAAAAGGCCTGCGACTAATAAGACTGCAAATTCATTAAATCCCATCAGAAGTAATCTACATATTTTAAATTGCAAACAGCTAACAATAATTGTTATCGTGTATAAACGCATTTTTAATATGTGATTTGAAAAATCTGAGCAACGGCGGCATAAGGTTCAGGCGCGTGCCCCCGTCAGCTGGCAGTACACGTGACGTAAACATCGCAGCTTGTCTGACCTCACAGGAACAAGGAGTGCTGAGCTGTCATTATTCCCTGATGATGTTTTTCATATAAGGCAATTCATTTCATATCGCCATTAACGGTTTATTTATCCGACGTGGTCAGATATGCATTTCAAAGTATTTATATCGCAAATATCTTTTTCTCCTTGGTGTTGATCATAGGGACAGTGATGGGAGGCTGTGTGGGGAGGAGTACGATGGATGGACAAGGGAGTGCCCGAAGCTCGACAAGAAGCAAAAAACGTGGAGGTAAGAAGCTGGAACACGTTGGACTGTAGCCTCGTGAATGCATTATAATACTGCTGCACAAATGGAAGTGATTTAACATTTGTGACGATGTCCTTTAACCCGAAATTCATAATAAGACATTATTTGTATGCATTATTTTTTTTTTGAGTGCTGTTGCAAGTGAGATGACAGGACAATGAGTTTAAGAGAACCTGCAAATATTCTAAGGGGTCTAGCCCTGTTCTATTAGATTAGACTATTATGTTGTTATAGCTTAAGGTAAATGGCTTCTGTAATGCGTTCAAATGTTGTGTTATGCAATACCCATCCTATGTTACATAAAACACATAATTATGTCAGGACAGATTGTCAGAACCAGTACGTTTTCATGAGAAGATGAAGCCTCAACAATTCATGTATTTGTGATAAAATGCAGGTTGGGGTTCCTCCACCCCAGCTGTTGCAATGACGTGTTTCTCTGTCTGAGCGCTTCCTGTCTGTCTCGGGCGTTAAAAACGTCAGGCCTCATGACATAAGTCATTGTGTAATCTGTGCTGAGGACCAGCGCTGATTCAACAGTGTTACACACAAACACTGGTCAGTCCATTCCTTGTGGACAGACGTGGCAGTGCACTCAGCTGGATTGTCATACATTATGCATGGAGCAGCAGCAGTTGCCGGCACACAGAGTTTTCAGATCAAAGTTTGACCTACTTGGTGCATGACTTGCCTTATGTCAACCTGCTGCGAAATTACATGACCTCACAGATCATGTTCACATGTTCAGACCTGCTTTTGTGAGACACAAACACAGAAGGCCTCTGTAATGAACTGGCTGGCTATTAGCTGTGGAAATGCAGCATCTGAGCGACAGATTTGCATTTATTCATATGAGCCTTCACGAAGGAAAAACAATAATCTGCTGGGGTCAGTTCGCAGAAGGACTGTAGCTTCTCCTGTAATGGTCTGACAAGGGTTTATTATCTGGTAATCAGGTTGAGCGTGTTGCCGTTGGGTATTTCTATCCTGTCTCCAAACAGAGCTGATGGGATTACGCCTAAAGAAGTAACCTTCTGGTTAGGACACCAAACGTACTCTCACCTCAATGAACTGATCCATTGGTATTTTGGGGGTTTTAAGTATTTGTTATTAGAAGGGATGTAAGTGGAAGGAGTGTGGTCATTTCAAAATCAACTGGGGAAGTGTTACGACGGAGTCTGCACATCGTGGCAAACTTGACCAGGTGGCTGCCTACCTGTTGCAACAAGCTGGTTGGACGCAGCAGGGCTTTCCTTTTCCTCGAGGGTTGGTGTCTTTAGGTCACTCATGTGGACTTTTAACTGACTCCCATCCACCCTCAGAGTAAGAACAGCCATGGGAGTACCCAACTCCAGGGAATACAACTACTATCAAGTGCCAAACGCACCCTTTAAGATTTTGCTGAAAAGTAAGTGTAGATTTTTGTGTGGGCTGAAACGTGTACTTTCATGTTTCCTGTTTTCACATGTGCGCTGTTGTGCCACATTTGTTCGGCCATAATTTGTTTCTGGGGATTTTGTGTGTGTTGAGTTCAAATTGCCGGTGCTGTTGTTATTCTATGACTGTTAGGGCAACAAATAATGTATACTGTAAATGTGTAAATAAAACAAATGGTTAAAAATACATGAAAAACAAAAAGATTGACAGCATCCACGTTGCTGCCTCTAACTGAAATGTATGCGTTCATGGAAAAGGGTACACTGGGGTCACTTTGATGGAGATGTGAGACAATCAATTCAGTTAGCGTTGCAGTGCTGATGTTTAGGAGATGTTTGCTTATTAACTTCGATGCTGATTTTTCTGAGTTAATGTTTTTTTCCAGTATGTGTTCATCAATCCATCTGTGCTGTTTGTAATCCACATGCTGAACACTGAAATACTACCCCTATTACAACTACTAGTAGTGGTTATTAAAATAGTATATAGAAATAATGCAGCAATAATAATATCCATAAAATCACACTTTAGTTTACATGACAGAAGCTTGGGTGATTTCTGTTTTGGTATAACTTAGTTGGTAGTTTTCCGATCCACCAGAAATGTTCAAAATTGAGGAAAATAAACTTGGCTGATCTGTACACTCACACTGCACAGTACACAGTCAGGCTCACTGACCTACAACAGTAAGGAGGTGGATAAAATATTTTTCAAATATTGTAACAGAACCAAACCAAAAAAGGTGCCCACAGTAATGTTTTACAACTATACTTACAACCAGGACGAGCTCAAATCAAGCATGTTTTGTTCAGTTGTGCTGTTGGCCATGTTTGTTCTTTCAAACGTCATGACTTGAAATGTAAGTTGTCATCACACAACTTCAAATTACCTTCCAGTCTCTGTCAATCAGGTTGCTTGTTAGGACTCCAGATAATATTTGCATTTGTTTGGCTGGCCTGTTCATGCAGTCCTTTGCTGCCTGTCAACAATAACAAAAGTGGACTTGGAGACTAGAAACCTATGTTTATACTGGATAAGTAGACATTATGGAATTTTCATCTACATAACAAAAACGTTTATTTGATACTAAATCTGTGCCTTTTACTACTAATATGTAAACAAAAAGGTAAATGATAAAATGTGTAAATTGTGTACATCTGAAAGAATGCATATGTAGGCACACATGTAAACAATACACCTATCCAAACTGGCAACCTGAAGCTCATCTCTAAAGGTCACGGTGTGACATTTATCGTTATATGGTGGCCTGCATTATTAATGACATAGCAAACCATTAAATTCTGGAAAATGGCACCTCATGCCCAACCTAATTAACAGATGCAGACATTTACTCTAGTTCTGAAACATGTCACATCAGAATATATACAGTATTTGATTGCAGTGAGGCTTAGTGTGATAATTGATTTGTAGAGGCTTTGTGTTTGTATTTCCTTGTGGTTTGTTTTTTTTAGGCTTGTAATAGTCTCTGAGTATTTCTGCTTGCTTTCATTGGTCAAAGAGAGCTCATCTCTCCAACCAATGCCTTATGGGATAGGGGCAGATAAATCCTGTTGTGTGGCGTCTGATTACTGCCTATAATCCACTGTGTGTGTGTGCGTGCTTGTGTGTGAGTGCCTGCCAGTGCACACGTGTTACTAGCCACTGCAGTAATCCACAACGCTATAAATAATCACTTTGATTCTCCTCCCTCTGTGCATCAAATGTACTTTCTTGGTATGCTGGTACAGTGGATATTACGTACACGGCACACCAGCATGTAAATACCTGCAGCAGGTGTATAAAGTATAGCACTTAGCGTTACTAAGCCTGTATAGCAAAGGAGATGGTGTTGAATATCACAGACGCAAGGGGGTGTACACATCGTGCATTTACTAAAGATCCTTCAGTATGGTCTCAAAATGAGCCTCCATTTTCTTGTCTGACCTCACTGGTGTTCATGACCAAGTGTACACAAAACAATAATGTTAAAGTACGTTTGAAGCATTTATCTTCTAGAATGTATCTTGTATTATATTGGGAAATGTTTCTTCTCATATAAATTATTTGTCTTCAGTGATGATACTATGCTCTTAAAGTTCAAAGAGGTTAACATTTAAAATGTTTTTTGTAATTTATTTTGTCATAAATTATAGCTCTGTTTCGGGAAATATATTAGTAACACATTTAAATTACACAAAATATTTCTTGAGACTCAAGCGTGCATAAGGTAATGGTAAAGATCTGATGGCCTGAGTGAACCTGGCAACCTTTTCCAGGTTTCTCAGAACTTCACTACCAAATAAATGGTTTAACTGCCCTATAATCCTTTTACAGTAACTCAGTTAGTTGCAGCCACTATGTCATTATGTTTATAATGTTGCTGTAGTTTCTGCTACCTTTTTAAATACTAAAAATTGTTTACATGTCTGTCCAGCAATGCATAGCCCTTATGATATCGGGTTACAGTGTTTTTCATCGGTTCTTAGATTAGTCTTTATATCAGATTGAACTCTGCCTTGCTTTTGCTTTCAGGACGTAATGAGCCCCTCAAGAAGGAACGTCCAAAGTGGAAGAGTGAGTACCCGATGACGGAGGGCCAGCTGAGGAGTAAGAGGGATGAGTTTTGGGATACGGCTCCCGCCTTTGATGGACGGAAAGAGATCTGGGACGCACTCAGAGCAGCAGCCCTGGCTGCAGAGTGCAATGACCTGGAACTAGCACAGGCTATAGTGGATGGAGCCTGCATTACTCTGCCACACGGTATGAACACACTCACACACACACACACGTACCCCTTTAGATCTGGAAATGTGCTTCATCCAGCTATCAATTGTGAGCTGTAAATGTCCTGGAACTTCCGGCCCAAATGCATAAACTCAATGTTCTCAAAATATCAAAGGACAGGTTTCAGAATGCCATGCATCAGTTGTTCAGAGATTACTGCTGTAATAGTTACATAATAGCCACAGTGCTACGTGACCTCTGTGAATGGATTGGTGCACAGAAAGCCATAGAAGAGTTAGGTGGAAAAAAACACTCTGTTCTTGCATATTTATCTACTCACGCACAAGAGTGCTTTTGCTTTTAAGCGTGTAGTTCAAGGACACTGGTGTTGTTGATGTAAATGTAAGTAAATATAATGTAAATGTGAACTTATGCTGTCCGTGGTTTATTGGATTAGAGAAGGGGTTTATGTATGAGGGTTAAAGTGAGTTACTGTTACTGGTAGAAAGATTTTTGGAAACCGGTGTTTATGTTTTCTATTTGTTCCTCTGCAGGTTCCCTCACAGAGAGTTATGATGAACTTGGCAACCGCTACCAGCTCCCGGCCTACACTTTAGCCCCACCTGTCAACCTAATCTCTGAAACATCCAGTGAGAGCAAAGTCTCTGACGCCACACAAAAACAAGCTCAACCTCCTCCTTGCAGACAAGAGTTCCAGCTGAGGGTTCGATTGTCAACAGGTAAAAAAAAAACCCAACATGGCCTATAGTATATAATTTATGTATAATATGACATTAAAATCGACATAACTACATGTTACACATGCATGCATACGGCATTTCATCGCATCTTGACTCATCTAGACTGGGGACCAGTTTAGAATTCATAGCTTTTCAGTGTCTCACAGCGTGTTGAGAAATATGCGTCAACTCTATTTATGCCTTGTTGTTTCCTTAGGAGAGGATGTGCGTCTGACCGCCAGCATGGCGGACTCCATCGCTGAGCTCAAGAAACAATTGGAAGAACAGGAAGAAATTGGCGTGACCCGCCAGAGGTGGTTCTTTTCCGGGAAGCTCCTGACTGACAAGACTCGTCTTCAAGACGCCAAGATCCAGAAGGACTTTGTCGTTCAAGTGATTGTCAATATGAACTCTCCAGTCATAGTTAACTGATGAGTGAGACAGAGGGCTTTGAAGAGAGGAAAATACAAAGGACATGCCAGAGAGGGGGTGCAGAAGTAGGGCTTGTAATAATTTTCCAGTTGGCACTGCAGTGGATTTTGTGTACATTTTTATATAAGAAATTATTGCTTTTATATGGCTCCTTTTTGTATTTCTTTCCTTTTTCCAAATGAAGTAAGAATATTGAAAAGCACTGTAATACTTTAGATTAACGGTAGAGTGCTAAGATGCACATCCCAGTGTAAGTCTGTCTGTTTGTGTGGACATCAGCTCTATTGTTTACGCGGATCACCCTCCTCGTCTTGTGTGTTTGTACTTGTGCTTCAACTGAATATGGTTCACCCGGGGGTCCGAATAAGGAAAACGCATTCCCTTTTTTTTTCCTTTTTAAAGATTTCTGTCATGCGATCTGAGAAGTAGGATAAGGATGGCCGACAACTGTAGAGAAAAAGAAAAATGTAAATATCTGTTTCCATATGTGTTGTTTGGTCAAGTAACTATGTGCACACTACATTTTCAATTCACACCTGTATATTTGTAATTAGGACACGGAATGTAATGAAGGCACCTTTCTAAAAGGTAATAAGAGATGATGAGGTTTGTTTTTTATTTCATCACTCCAAACAAGATACTGTAGTCTTGTGTACAATATGATGCTCACTGTACTTGAATAACTTATCAATAAATATTTAAAATCATTCTCCATTTTCCTGATTATTAGGCACTAAGCATCCAGCCTCAGGAGATAATGGTTGCTCAGCTGATATGAAGACGTTTTTGTTATGTTGCGTGAGTGTCGTTTTGTGCTGCACAGCGCCATCTACTGGCAAAGCAACAATCATGGTCAGGTTGGTCAGGCACGTGAGGGGAGAACATCCGTGACGTAATTCGATAAGCGACAGCTTCAACTGGAGCTGCACAGACAGTTGGCAGTAACGGGACTATTTTAACCCCAAAAATGGTCAAATCGGGGAAACTGCGATCTGGGACGGGGTCTAAACTCAAACGGTGGAAGAAAGGACACAGTAGCGACTCAAACCCGCAGACGAGTCGTTATCGGCAGGCTGCTAAAAGCCGCTTCTTCAGCCGACCCACCGGTAAGCTTCCAGTTCACGTTACACGTGGGTCTGTGGCTAGTGCTAACGTTAGCTAGCGGCAGCCATTTAGCTTGCAACTGCCCAGGCTAACTGTATATGCTGCGCCATTAAATGTTCATCTGCAATCTGCACAAGTTGTCAGCGGAAAATCTAACTGCCTATCTTTCTGTTTTTAACCTTCGGTCTGTTGAGACAACGTGTCGCTCAGTGCAGTTGTTGGTTTTACATGATAACAACTGCTGTGTGTGTGTGTGTGTGTGTGTGTGTGTGTGTGTGTGTTTGTGTTTGTGTGTGTGTGTGTGTGTGTGTGTGTGGCCGAGAGAGAGAGACACTGTTTAACTGTGTCGATAAATTAAGATTACTCCATTTGTGCTGATGCTATACAGGCAACGTCACCACCCTGAAATAAACAGCTCCGGCAATAATAATACAACGTTTGTACGTATTTTGCCAGATAAACGCACATGGCTCCGTACTCCAGAACATTACACTTTAAATGTATTTAGGAATACTTCCAGCTGTAAATTGATGCTGTTTACATCCACACATTGGGTGAACAGTTTATGTATTATAGTCTATCTGTACACGATCCTCCAATTTCAAGGTACCCAAATAATCATGTCTTCATATTTAATATTTGGTTGTAAAGCCATGGCAGTTAATGACTGCTGGCCACGTATATAACCCATATACATCACAAGATAGGCCTACTTGTTAGCCTCCTTGGTGAAGCTTTGTCGGGACTGTGCTGCACCAAGCGTCACTTCATTCTATTTTGGGGGGCTTATTCCCTTCAGGCTTATCATCAGCATGTGAAATGCACACTTAGTTGGATCAAAGTTACAATGCAGACTATGTGCTGTGTGATTGTGATCATTATTAATCTGCATTGTCATGAAATGGGGTGGACTAAATATAAAAAAGGTGTGTGAGTGTGTAAACGCTATCATGCCCGTGGATGACTTTCCTTTGCATCGTGTGGCGCTTGTTGTAATGTTGTGCCTCTCTGTCTCCCCCCCGACCACAGAAAAGAGCGACCTAACGGTTGATGCTCTTAAGCTACACAATGATCTGCAGGTCGGTCCGCTGGAGCTCGGTAGCCGTAAAGATGCCCGTATGGAAGAGGAGCCAGATGCGGCTTTTTCAGAAAGGACCTCAGGCACCTTCCTCAGCGGCCTGTCGGACTGCTCCAACCTGACCTTCAGAAAGGTGCAGCGCTACTGGGAGTCCAATTCAGCTGCTCACAAAGAGGTAGGCATCACACCGAAGATAGGTCATTTATTCACAACACCCCATGAATACATAGCTGTATACGGCTGACTGTAATGCCAGCAAACCTCTTGTTTTTAAAGAGTCAAAACATTGAGGGTAGCTCTGAGAAGTTGATGATGACATTTCTATAAGTTGATCTGAGAATACCAACATTACTAACAAATATATACTTGGAAATCCAAGACGCTGAGATGTCCTTGTAGCTGTAACGTTAATGTGCCTCACAGATCTGCGCAGTGTTGGCGGCTGTTACTGAGGTGATCCGAAGTCAAGGAGGGAAGGAGACAGAAACCGAATACTTTGCTGCTTTGGTGAGTGCTGCCCTTTAAATACACAAACATTTACTAAGACATTACCGCATACCTTGTGGTGCGTTGAAGGTGATGGTGAGCCTTGGTGTGTCTGTGCTTTCTGTAGATGACCACACTGGAAGTTGTGGATTCAGCAGAGTCTCAGGCTGCAGTGGCGTACCTTCTCAACCTCGTCATGAAACGGTGGGACTTTTAACAACTTTTGTCGGCAAAATGAAACTCCCATTCATGTCAAGGCTACTTAAAAAAAACCAACTTGTTGTTCATGTTATTGGTGTTTTGTGTTCACCAGGGTTCCCGCTCCGGTGCTCATGTCTAAGTTCTCGGACACCACCAAGGCTCTGATGGACATCATGTCAAAACAGGCCATGTTTGAGACGGCCTCGGCTCTGAGATGGGTGAGTGGGTTTGTCTCCGTTTGTCTTTTTATTTCACTGACCAAAACTGCAGCATAGATTGAGTTTGACATTTGTGCATCTATAGATCCTGTCATGCCTGGCCACTCTGGTGAGGAAGCAGGATGCGTCTGTCTGGACTTACCCGTCTACGCTTCAGGCTTACCACGGCCTTCTCAGCTTCACAGTGCACAGCAAGCCCAAGGTCCGTCTCGCCCGCCTGCTAATAGCTGCCTCACAAGTATTACATGTTGAATGAGATGCTGACATTTGTACCCAGTTTAATTTCATGTCCCCTTTCTCCTCTCAGGTCCGTAAAGCAGCACAGCAAGGAGTTTGCTCCATTCTCAGAGGTAGTGACTTCCTGTTTACAGACAATGCCCCGACCCATCACCCTGCTGCAGCGACCACAGCCAAGTTCTGCATGAAAGAAATGGAGCAGGCAGGAGGTAAGGCAGCTATTTGTTTGGTCTTGCTGTGGGAAGGTAAAATAGTTAATATGAGTTTGTGCAGCAACTTGTAGTTTATGTCTTCTTTGTCTTCCCCCTCAGGCAGCACAGAGGACACCACCACCCTTCATGTGCTGGGTCTTCTGAAGGAGTTGATGGGGACATTTCCTCTGGGAGCTGTCAAGTCCTGCTGTGAGACTCTGCTGCGAGTGATGACACTCAGCCATGTGGTGAGAGCACAGAAACATCCATAGGTGCAGCCAGATGCCCTTTGTTCATCCACATGGATGCTCAAGTGTAGTTCTTAACATGGCTGCTATGTTTCTGACTGTAGCTGGTGACCGCTAGTGCCATGCAGGCCTTTCATAGGCTATTCAGCAGCAAGCCAAACGCCTCAACCCTCTCACCGGAACTCAACGCGCAGATCATCACGGTGAGCGAATACAAACAAAACAAATGACTCAAAATCCTAACGCGGAATGTGTTGTGGAAGCTAATATGTCGTTTCTCATCCTCAGGCTCTGTACGACTATCTGCCCAGTGAGAATGACTTGCAGCCTCTGCTGGCTTGGCTCGCGGTCATGGAGAAAGCACATGTTCACTTGGCGGGGTAATAACCTGATTCCTTGCGACAGAATCATAAATCCTTTCTCGTCATCGTGTAATTGCGTGTTTTCTAATCAGAATAGCCAGTCGTTTGTGGTTCAACCGTTTGTGTGTCTTCGTGTAGTTTGCCGAGTTCTCTGAGTTTGGGTCACCTCCCTCGCCTCTTCTCCGCAGCCATGTCCTGCCTGTTGTCGCCTCATACGCAGGTGGTTTCTGCAGCCACCAATACACTAAAGGTAAAGAAGTGATCCATCCACATTGAGGAACTCAAAGTTGACAGAGCGTGTTTGTCTAGGCTCAGGGGGGTATTTCTGGATTGGGATTAGAGACTGGGTAGTCTGCTAAATAATTAAATCCTCCTAACTCGCTGGGAATTTTACAAAAAAGTTGTCTTTTCCAAAAGAAATGTAACAGTGTATGATGATTTATTTATGTTTATCTGTTTCAGACATTGTTAACTGAATGTGTCGCCCCTCACATGGAGGGAATGGGAATGATCTCTGCCACAGCCTCCGCTGGGAACCCCTCCTATGTCTGCAAAATGTTTCGGTAAGCTCCCTAACTGTTAACCAATCTCAGTCTTTCCCCTTCTTCTACGCAGCGACTACATGTAAAATGCTCATCGTGATAATTGTGGCTGTGTGTTTCAGTATCGTAGAAGAAGGATTGTCGTATCGCTTCCATGTCTCCTGGCCATTTGTGCTGCAGATCCTGGGTTGCTTCTATCGAGCAGCAGGGAAACAAGCTCACCCCATCATGACCAAGGTATAGACACACAGACATTCGTAGATCACTATGTGAGGAGAGCAAGTTCACAGTTTGCCTGAGTCTCTGTGTCGTGTCCTTTTGACAGTCCCTGCAGTCTCTGGCAGACCTGCGCTCCACTCCTCATTTCCCCTTCAGCGGTGAGTTGGACCTGGCTGTAGGAGGAGCTGTAGAGAGCATGGGGCCTGAAGTTGTGCTGGGTGCTGTGCCTCTCAACATCACCGGCTACGAGTAAGTGCAAATACCATGGAAACACACACACATGTGATGGGGAGCAGTCTTCTTGTCATTATAGTGGTTTAACTGACTATGTTTTGTTGTTTTTTTTCCCCACCAGGGATGACTTGGAGTTCCCACGCAGTTGGCTGATCCCGGTCATACGGGATCACGTGAAGAACACTCACCTTGGTTTCTTCTCTTCTTACTTCCTCCCTCTGGCCTCTACACTCAAGCAGAGAGGTAAACGTATGCGTGACGGTCCACTTTGATGCTGGATTCACTGTTTATGTGTATTAACTGATGACATTTTGTGTTGTAGCCGAAGAATTGGAGCAAGCAGGACAGAAACTTGAGGCCAGAGTCTACCAGACATTACAGATACAGGTTAGCTCTACACCGACTTTAAGTTTGTATTCGGAGGAAAGAGTTCCAGTGAATGAGTTGTTAAGAGGCGCATGTCTGTACTTTTCTTTCAGATTTGGACCATGCTTCCTGGCTTCTGTACATGTCCTGTGGACCTGCTGGCATCCTTCAAAGGCATTGCCCGCACACTCGGTGTGGCTGTTAATGAACGGCCGGACCTG